TGCGGTTGGCGCAGGATAGAGCAGGGTTTAGGGCTGTTGTGCATAGGGTCGCTGTGAGTCGGAAACGACTCGACGGCACATAACAACAACAACAACATGTAAAAGCAGAATTAAAAAAGATAGAAACTAATGGATCTAAGTATTCAGCCTCACCACGTTAGTGGAACAACAGTTTGGACATTACTTTATGCAAATTTACATAATTTTATGTGTTGAAATCTCAACGTGCGTTCATAGAGTTCTTTTTAAGTCTGCCAAAAGGCTGTACTGACCATTTGTTGTTGGTCTTGGGAAATTTCATAACTACTGCCCTGTAGAAACTTATAATTTGATAAGTAAGAAAGAAATAGCCCTTTGTGAAAGAATTAGACATTGACTCTTCTCACGTATTCTGTAGACCTCACTACCAAATAAAACCCAATCAGCAAAAAAAAAAAAAATCCCTTCCTTACATTAGTAAATACTTCTAAGATTATGTTCTGGATATATAAAATGTAAGTTATGGAGAATATCTTTTTTCACCCTAAAATGAGGCTAGGCTATGTGATTTATCAAAATAATTTAATGTATTAGAAAATAAATAATAATGTCAGAGGGGAAAGAAAAAAAATAAGACTTTTCTGGAAAATATAGTCTATATACTTAGTATTTAAGGTATCTCCTTACCATTAATGAAATAGAACCATTCTTAAAAAATAAACCTCCCAAAAATAGTAATAGCTTATATTTATCATTTTTTCTGTATACCAAACATTATGAAATATTTTACCTGGTTTACCTTATTTTAACCTTATAACATCCCAGTGAGGCTTTGACTGCTCTTAGTATTTTCCAGATCGAGAAATCCGAGAAAACCGCTGACACATACATTTTGATGTTTATAGTCTGGAATTAAATAGTTATACATAGGCTACCACCTTTAGTCTAGCAGTCAATAACTGGTGACCTATTTGGAGTTACTTTATGCATGCAAATAAAATGCTTTTTTGTTTTGTTCTGAGCGGGGTTATACCGCTCCGTGCAGGCTCACAGGCATCAAAGCCGGAGAGAAGGAGTACCATTGCAGCAAGACCCAGGAGCATTGTATGACTTTAATTTAGATGAAGAATTAGAAATTGATCTTGATGATGAAGCGATGGAAGCCATGTTTGGACAAGACCTGACCAGTGACAATGATATTCTGGGAATGTGGATCCCAGAGGTACTGGATTGGCCTACCTGGGTGTGTGTGACTGCAGCGGGGGCTGCTCTGACTTATTTTCCTGCCCTCCTCTTCATGCAGCTCCCTAATTGCCTTGCCTAGAGTTGTACCATTCTAAAGTCTTGCATCTCATCAGAAGTTTGGGGATATAATGCTTGAGGTTCTTTTGATACCCACAAACTAAAAGTCTCTGGTGTTGCTTTCTCTTTGCAGCTTTATTGCTTCTTTCACCAGACTTCCAATGCATAGAGCTGCATTGTGGCAATTGATTCTGATGTCAAAGATTGAATACAAAACAGGCATTAGATCCCAGTGGACTCTGCTGTGCATATAACATGGCTGCTTTGCTCACATTGCTATCTGAATGCATGCTGTTCTCATCATAGGTTCCATGTAATCATTATAATGTCTCATTCTAGGAACCAGTGCACACATAGTAAATACAAATACCTCCATCCAGAGACAGGGTAAATGATGCATCTGTGTGTATACATTGTTTAGTATTACACTTGAGTAGCTTGGAGACTGAAAAGTTCACTGAATAAGTCCAGCAGAAAGGAGGATTTACTGTATCTAATTAATTAATAAGTCTCTTAGTGGCCTTTCTAAAACAATTTAAGAGATAGCTATGAATATTTGACCAAGTGACTATTTCTTGAGTTAGTTCTGACTTGTAGCAGAATGAAACACTACTTGATCCTGTGACATCCTCTCAGTGGTTACCAATGTTAGAGCCCATGTTGCAGCCACTATGTAAGTCTCTCTCATTGAGAATCTTCCACTTTATTGAAGACCCTTCACTTTACCAAGCATGATAATCCTTTCCCCAGGATTGGTCCCTGCAGATAACTTGTCCAGACCACATGAGATAAAATCTCAATCCCCTCGCTTCTAAGGAGCATCTTTCCTGTTCTTTTTCCAAGATAAATTTTTCCATGGTCTTCTTAGCCAGTATCATGATTCACAAATATTCTTAATTATTATCCAGCTCTTTCATGCATATGAAGCAATTGAAAATAGCATGGCTTCAGTCAAGTGCATGTTAGTCCCCAAAAGAAAACCTTTGGCAACTTTAATTTTATTTTCTCCACTTATCTCGGTGTTGCTTATTAACCCAATTGAGACTATTTTTATTATCTTTATATTGAAGTGTAACCCATACTGAAAGCTGTAATCTTTTCTTTTTATCAATAAATATTTCAAGTCCTTGTCTTTTAGAGCAATCACAGTTGTGTCGCCTGTATATTGCAGCTTGTTAGTGACCGTTCTTCCAATCCTGTTAGCATATTGCTCGAAGAATAGCCCACATTCTTGGATTTGCTACATAGCATGTAGGGGTTCAGAATACAGATTAAATAATAGTGAAAGATTACAACCCTGGTGCACACTTTTCCAAGTTTTAAACTATGCAGTGCTGCTTTGTTCTGTTCAGACAGCTGCCTTGGTCTAAAAGTTCTGTGTAAACATAGTTAAGTATTCTGGAATTCCCGTTCTATGCATTGTTATCCATAATTTATTATGATCTATGAAATAGAATGCTTTTTCACAGCCAGTAAAGTACATGTAAACATTTTTGTTATTCTCTACTTTCAGAGTTCTGTGTGATAGCCCCTCAAGTCGTCTTGTGACTCTGTTTTGAATTTCTAGCATTTCCCTTCCCGTCCACTGCTGCAATAGTTCTTAAATTATCTTCAGCAAAATCTTACTTGCATATGGTGTTATTGGCACTTCTGCATTCTAGTGGATCACCTTTCTTTGGAATGGGCACACATTATGAATTTTTTCCAGCCAGTTGGCCAGGAAACTGTTTCAAACTTCTTGGCATACACACATGAGCACCTCCAGTCCTATTTGCATTTGTTCAAACACCTTCATTGATAAACCATCAATTTCTGGAGTCTTGTTTCTGGCCATTGTCTTCAGTGTAGCTTGGACTTCTTTCATCAATTTTTTATTATCCCTACCACCAGAATGGTGAATGTTAACCAATTCTTTTTGGTACAATGATTGTTTCTTGACATTTTTTAATTTTTCTTGTATTGTTCATTATTTTGCCCAATCAAATCCTTCAATATTACAACTGAGGGTCTTGAACTCTTTCTTCCATTTTTTAAGCTTGAGAAATGCTGAGCACATTCTTCCCTTTTGGTTTTCTAACCCTGAGGCTTTGCACATTTAGTTAGAATATTTTGTCTTCTCAAGCTGCCCTTTGAAATCTTCTGTTCAGCTCTTTTACTTCAATTCAGCATTTCTCCTTTTCATTTAATTGCTCTACATTCTAGAATGCATTTCAAAGTCTCTTCTGGCATCCATTTTGGCTTTTATCGTCTGTTCTTTTTTTTAAATGACCTTTGATTTGTTCATATGTGATGCTCTTGATGATATCCCACAGCTTGTAATCACTGTTCAGTACAACACGTCTGTTCTTGAGATGGTTCCTAGATTTAGGTGGAATATACTTAGAGTTGTATTTGGGTTCTTGTGAACTTGTTTTATTTACTTGGAACTTGCATGTGAGCAATGGATGGTCTTTCCTACAATTGGGCCCTAGCTATGTTCTGTTTTATTCTTATTTTCACCAAAGGGTTTAAGAAAATCTTTTTGAGGCAAGATAGGTTGTCATTTTTTTTACCCCGTTATTTAGTACAATACTTACTTTTATTATAATTTCATGGAATAGGGCAAAGAACATACTAAATTGTATGATTTAAAAGAAATTTGTCTGCCCCCTTAGTAAGCATTATGCAAGTAGTTCATCACAAGTAAACATAATAGTTAACGTTATAAGTACTCTATTTACCTCTTGCTAATTTTATGTTAGATTGACTAACTGGTATGAAATCATTTTACACAGCATGTCTGTGAATCTGAAGACAGGGAAGAAGTGGTGGTGTGTGAACTGTGCGAATGCAATGTCGTCAGCTTCAATCAGCACATGAAGAGGAACCACCCAGGCTGTGGACGCAGCGCAAACCGCCAGGGCTATCGTAGTAATGGCTCATATGTGGATGGCTGGTTCGGTGGTGAATGTGGAAGCGGAAATCCATACTACCTGTTGTGTGGCAGCTGCAGGGAGAAGTACTTAGCCCTAAAGACCAAATCCAAGACAACAAGTTCTGAAAGGTACCTTGGAATTGTCTAGATTTCCGCATTCTCTGAATAAAGAGTATAAAGTATTTAATATCTTAATATACCCTAGCTTCCTTTTTGTGAGAAGATACTTTTTTAGCCTTCTCAAAATTCCCATCATCATTGAATAGAAGAACAGGAAGGGTGGAAGAGATTGAGGAGTTAATTTCCCACAAGGGTTTGACTCTTTCAGCATCTCTGAGCGTCCAAGGAAAGGGACTAGAGTTTGATTGTGTTGAACTTGGACTTGCTGGCAAGTTGTGATCTGGATCCTTGCCTTAACCCTGAAGAGGCTTGTTGTCAATTTCTTCATGGTTCTTCACCAGATTACTGGCATCTTAATTAAGATCTTTTTCTTTTTTAAAATATACATTGGTTTTGATTAAATGAGCTTTCATGAAAATATCCCCTCCCATCCTTGAATAGCATTTTCTAGTGAGCAAGCTGTTTTACGCTTATCAACTAGTAAAGGCTTTCTGGAATGAGTTTTGATTAAAAGACTTCTAAGTGACCCAGAAAACTCATCAGTGTTTTGGTAAAATAATCCTCCATTTTCTAAGCATGTTCGTGCCTCTTTACCAACAAGTTTTATTATGTTAGCCTGTAACATGAAACAGACTTTTAAAATTTTATGTTGCTTTATTAATGACCTTTTAAAATATTCTAATGACTTAATGTGCATTATTTGGTACTAACTGTTTTATATAAAAACACAATGTTCTTCATGTTTGGTGCAGGTACAAGGGACAAGCTCCAGATCTAATTGGCAAGCAGGACAGTGTGTATGAAGGTAGTTGTTTGTTTTGAGAGCTTTTTTATTTTACATGCATTTGTATATGTACCCTCTGCTTAACCTTTGTTACTAAAACTTACCTACATGTGTATATGTGTATGTATGTGTGTGTATTGGTATTTTTGTGTTAACTTAAACTCTGCCTCCTTTCCTCCAAAGCTCATGGTAGTTGATAGAGACTGCTCTAGTTCAAAGGCAAAAGAGAAACCCTATGGGTTTTTTGGTTACAGAATGTTAATTTCTGTTTGACGTGATTCTTTTTCAAAGTAGGGAAAATATGTAGTACATTTTGAATTTTCATTAAGTGAGGACTAAAAAGTAAACTCTGAAGTAAACATCAATTTATCTGAAACATCCATTTACTTGAGACAACTCATTTATTAATAATTATGGACAGGATAAGAGTTCACTGATGGCTCCATGCCAATATTTTTTATTAGTTGAAACCTCCATTACCTATTACAACATTTGCTGTTACTGTAAATGGATTTGATGACACTTGGCTACCTTTTCTCTTAGTCTCACTGTGCCTGAAGAGTGCAGTGTGGTTGGATCACCAGGAGATGGTGCTCTAGTTCGTTTTGTGGATACTGGATTTGAGGTCCATCAGTGTTTAGACATCTCAAAATAGCCATTACCACAAGTGTTGTACTTTGTTATATTCATATCACATACATTTATTTATTTAAATTCCAGAAGACTGGGACATGTTGGATGTTGATGAAGATGAAAAGCTGACAGGTGAAGAAGAGTTTGAATTGCTTGCTGGGCCGCTTGGTTTAAACGACCGGCGTATTGTGCCAGAACCCGTTCAGTTCCCTGACAGTGATCCACTGGGAGCATCAGTAGCGATGGTCACAGCCACTAATAGTATGGAAGAAACGCTGATGCAGATAGGTAAACAGCACTGCTGATGTACCATTGATTTTATGGTTCTTGTTGTTAGGGGCTGTCACATTGATCATGACTCATAGAAACAGGAACTGTCACCTTCCCTGCAACACCCTCTTGAGCCCTGTAAGCCCGTCGTTGTTGGCACGATTGTTTAGTCTCTCGATTTGCTTCTTAGATAAACAGATACATAATGGTAAAGATTCAGCAGTGTCCGGTTCAATAATTTTAGTCAGTTTTGACATTTTTAATGCATTTTAACATTAATTTCCATTTTTCATAAAATACTAACTTGAGGTGAGCTCTGGTGGCCTAGTGGCAAGAAGCTGTACTGCAATCCCAGAGGTGTGCAGTTTGAATCCACCAGATGCTCTGCTGGAGAAGGGATGATCTCCTCCTGTACCAGTCAGATCTGATTTGATGGTACACACAAAAAATAATAATAAAAAATAAAAGAAAAATACTAATTTGCTAAAAATGTGTTAGATAATAAAAGTAACTAAATAAAACATTTATTAGATATTAATTTCTTTTTAACTTTGTGCCAAGAGAATTCTGGACCTAAGTAAATACTGTTTTGTACCATTTTATGTAGATGAGAAGGAATAGTAACTTTTTATTACTTGGATACAAAATAAAGAATTGAGGCTGTATTTCGCAGCTCGGCCATCAAAATCTTATTGCTGTTAACACGTTGGTCCCAACACAGCAAGCAGCATCATGCGAAAGAACAAAGCACTGCACTGGCCCCTTCTGCTTTGTCGTTGTAGTCTTTGGTCCCGTCCATCACTCCCCACCCCCCACCCCTGCCCCGTCGGTGCTGGGCGTGATCCCAAGGCTGCAACACTGGGTCAGGCCGTCTCATTGAGAGCCTTCCTCTTTTTCTCTCATTTTCTGCTTTACAAGCATAATGTCTTTCTCTGGAGGTTGGACCTTCTAATAATATGTACAGGCATATTCATGTCCAAAAGAAGCTTTTTTAAAGTTGTATCTTTTTAGTGTTTCTTAGTATCTGTAGAAGTGATAAAAGAGGGAAACGAAATTTATTTATGAAAAACACAGTTTAAAAGAAAATTTCTTCTATACAAGTTATTCCCAAATTATATTAAAGTTAGAATGAACTGTACTGATGACTGTGTTGGGTTTTTTCCTTTAATATATCTTATCAGTAGTAATATGTACTGCATACAATGTTATTACTTACCTGTAAGTTTATATGCAATGATTCTAGTCCCTGAAGGCAAATGCCAGCTTTATAAAGGTAACTGATGATAATAGGCAATAATAATGAAAACTTTTTTTAAATGAGGTATTCTACTTACGTCAGAACTGACTAAAGCAGAGTCAGAATAGAACTAAGTTGTAAGTGGTGGCCTATCTGGTACAGATTGTTAACTTTTTCCCAAGGAATTTTCTTGTGTATCAAGGCCAAAATGAATAGAATACATTGGACAGTCTCTTTGATGTTAGTAGAATCTAACCTTGGATTGCATTATAAGCTACTATTTCTTTAATTGCATTACAAACTATTATTTCTTTATAGCGTTGAACATGGATAGAATGGGGGAAGCTTTCAGTGGTCTGGATTTTTTAATTTTTTCCTTTCATTGTTGAGAATCAAACAAAATCTTGTGTTTTACAGGCTGCCATGGTTCTGTGGAAAAGAGTTCCTCTGGGAGAATAACATTAGGTGAACAGGCGGCTGCCTTAGCAAACCCTCATGACCGAGTTGTGGCTTTGAGGAGGGTGACGGCTGCCGCTCAGGTTCTTCTGGCCAGAACCATGGTCATGCGAGCATTGTCCCTCCTCTCAGTGAGGTAAGCACTGACACCTAAGAGTGCGGGAGCTCCTGGAAGGTGTTAGATAAGAACCTGGTGGGGCTCAGGGGGACTTTGTTAAGTGCTTAGAGACTTGAACTATATACTATTTCATGAAAGAAGTTAGACATAGTCATCATTGTCATTTGTTCTTTCAGTTAATATTTTGCTTCTCTTAAAGTAGAAAATAATGCCATTTAAATAACTGTAAGTACTGAGTTTCATTTTGTGACATAATGTGGGAAAATAAGGCTGTTGATCCATTTAAAGTTGGATAAACATAAAAGGTCCATGAGTTTTTCTCTGGAGTTAACCAGCTGTTTAGCTAAATCTACATGCTAATTCTAGCACAAGAACTTTTTTTTTTAAGTTTTAAAAAAATTGTTTGCTAGCAGTCATTCATATGCATTATGTTTCATTCATGTACATTATGTTTTACACAATGATTCATATAGATTGTATTTTAGAGAATTAGTTACTATTGATCTATGCCTATTATCACCACTACCCACAAACCTCTTTTATCCTGGTGGTTTCCCTCCTTTACCACACTCTTTCTCCTTCCCCTTGTGAACATCTGTACATACCTTGCTCAGTTATTTTCTATTTAATAATATTTAATATTAGTCTTATATAATCTTTGTCCTTATGCAACTAAGTCATTTCATTCAGCGTAGTGCTCTCCAGACTTACCTGAATTATATAGTATTTCACAAAATTGTTATCCTTTAATGCTGTATAGTACTCCATTGTAGGAAGTACTACAGTTTCTCAGTCTGTTTGTTGATGGACATTTGGACTCTTTCCATTTTCTTTTATTTATAGGTGTATGAATGTCCATTCATGTCTTAGTTATTTCCTTGGAATACATCTCTAATAATGAAATAGCTGGGTCATATAGGATTTCTATGTGCAGCAAATGCCAAACTGCCTTCCAGAGTGGTTGTACTATTTTACAATCCCACCAACAGTGTATGAGAGCTCTGTTCTTTTCTCATCTTTTCTAAAATTTTTTATTTGCTATGTTGTTAAAATAAACTACTGCTGCCTGGGTGAGATGATATTTTGTCTGGATTTGCATCTCTTTGATTACTAGTGATAATTGAACATTTCTTCATGTGTGTGTTAGCCATCCAGATGTCCCCCTTTATGAAG